AGTATGCATGCGTGCACTGTGCGCGTGCACGAGGACACCGCCGGCCCCGTTCCAACCAAACCAGTTGGAACGGGGCGAGAAACCCACCCCTGGCCTTCTTGATGGGACTTTTTGGCACCCAGTGGTTCAATTAAAAGGTTTGCTGAGCTCTTGGAGTCTTGATTCCCCCCCCTCCAGAAAAAAAAACCTCTGGAATTGCAAAAAAGGAAGGGGAAGGAAAAGGAAAGGAAATCTGAATATGCCATTCCTCCACCAGCATATGGAATCCTCACCTCCCTTTCTGCAGTAAAATAAAATGCAATAAAATAAAAGCCAGAAGATAATTCCTAATCATCTCTTTATTCCTCTGGCATTCAATCAGGTTCCCGTCAGGGATTTCCTGAAAAGGAGGAATCTTGCAAAACAGCTCTTTTATGCAACAGGCCAGGCCTTTGGTCCCCACTGGGATACCCGACTGGGCCACAGATGGGGAAGATCTTCTAACCCTCCGCTGGTCTTCTGCTGCGGCTGCTTTTCCAACGTCTAATCCCAGGCTCTATCCTGCTCATGCAGGCTACGGATGGAAGGAAGGGGAGGGAGTTAGAAGACAGGCCCGCTGTTAATTTAAGCCACATTGACTGCACAGTAATTTATATTCCATCAAGACCCCGCCAAGGTTACAGCCGACTCCATGAGCCTTTTTTCTCGTGCCAGAAAAATTCCAACACCTCCTGTTTCTGGAGCCTGTCTGCACTGCCAGAGCGGGCCTCTCAGATGGCCTCCCTTGCAACAGATGCTTAATCATTCCCAGGCCTCAATTGCCAGCGATCCCAAATCCCTTGCTGACTTTGCCTTCCACGGGAGGGGCAGGGGAAAAGGCAGCAGGCAGCTCAAAGGAAGCAGCTTCACCTTCCCGTCTTCTCAATTAAAGAGCGTTGGGGCATCTCCTACAATTGAAAGAAATGATTTGGTCCTTTTGGGGTTGGCTTCCTGGGGAAAGCCAACTTAAGCTCTTCGAGGAAGATGCTAGTGAAGGGGTGCTCCTTCTGATTCTGGTCTTCCCCTGCAATTCTATTGCCAAGGCACAAGAGGGCAGAGATGGGCAAAAGAGAAAGGGATCCACTGAGTTTAGGCAAGCAATTTTTGCTAGAAGGAGGGCGCATAAGTAGGCTTGTATAAATTGAGGTTGCTCTGCTTTCTGACGTGCTTCAACTCATGCAGCAATGCTGTTCGACCTCTATAAGCTGCTTTGCCAGTTGAAAGCACTTTTATGACCGTGCTTTAAAAAAGTGCCTCTTTGAACCCATTGCCCCTTTCAAATATTTGCACAGTTCCAGACATAACTCCTCGTACGTGACAGAGGGGTGGGGGGAGTGTATGGCCATCCTTGTTTTCAGCGAAGTTCTCCATGTGTTTAATTCACGCTACAAAACTATGAGCCAAAACTCGTAATATTTGCATGGCTCTTCATTCCATCTTCTCCTCATTGATCATTTTTCCATGGCTGCAACTAATTAGGAAAATTTGGGTTTGCCAGACTCAAGTGTACTGGCTGTACCTCAAATATTCAACTTCAATTTTTTTATTTCTTGGCCACAGCTCCCACTTTTGTTTCTCAAACCTTGAATCTTTCCCTTGTTTATCTGTTATATAAGTTATTATTTATTGTAAATGTCCAGGCTACTTTACTTCAAACATTGATTCTCCAGCAATTAAGAACATAAAGGGACCAGGGCAGAACTAAACCATTCCCTGTTAAGATAATTTTTTCCCATATTAGCCCATGCGAAATGAGTAGAATTCTGCAACATGAATCCAACCAACGTCTGGGGAACTGATGGTCAGTTCTGTTCCTGATAAGAGCTTCTGCCACACTTTGGCCCCTACCTGAAGTCTCCACGGTTGTTGGTAACCCGTTCAGGTGGGCAGTACGAAGCTGAGGTCTCCAGCACAACAATCTCAACCTTTTTGCTAACGTTGCCCTGGGCAGTGAAGATGGTGCATTCCCATTCACCATTAGCTGAGACATGGATGTTGGACAAGATGAGCTCGCTGCAAATAGAGAATGCTTTTAGAAGACAAGATGGGCTGATGATCAATTGAGCTTTTGAACTGCGGACTAACCCAAGCCATATTTCCTTTTCTTACATCACATTCTTTACACACAGAATGAGCGATCTATAGTTGCTGGGAACTGAAGCAGGAACTTTGGAAGAGGACATGCTCACTGCATCTCTCAATGCCTTCTGAAGTACTTGCCTTTTCCTAGGTTAACATGGAGCCACATAATCCCAGGAATATACGCATTTGATTTAGAAGGCACCAACAGATCATACTGCATGACTAATTAAAATGCCTACTTTCCTGGGATTGCGTGATAACCATGGTTGTGCAGGAGAAAGCATGTGGTGAGCATGCATCCATCTTTGCCAAAACATTTTCTATATTCTTGATCCAAACAGCTGCACATCCTAATAGAAAAAACTTTCAGAACTCAATTCAGAACAGATTTATTAGCAGTATTCAAATAACATTATTATGATGTCATACAGGTTACCCAAATCTACAGGTATTTCTTTTGTAATGTCCTATGGATGTATTTAAAAATGGGGAAGGTATACAGTATTTATTGAGTGATTGGAAGTGACCAAAGAAAATTCCAGAGTGAGGCAAAGGACAGACAACTACTAAGCTATTCTCCAGTTACTGGATTTATTTACTGCCTTCTGCGTGAGTAGGATAAAAAGAAATATATACCGGTATATTCAAACATGAAAGAATAATGCATTCAAGTATCTGCAAATACCTGAAGGAATAAGCATATATATTCAAGACTCTGAAAAGATAGCAATGCTGTCACTGGGCAAATCAATTTGGATGGGAATTCCAGAACAGGGAGCCACCACTAAGAAGGCAGCCACCAGACTTCCTTCTAGTACCTTCTGCTTGGAATCAAGTCAAACCCAACTACCAAAAGGAGCTAAATCCATGAGTCCATCCCTGTATTCTGAAGTTACTGCTTATGTGTGAATCAATAGGACTTTTTTTTTCTAAACCTTAGTTCCTACTGGTATTAGCCAATAGCAATTCACCCAATGACTATGTTNCCTACATCCCAGAGGCGCCTTCTAAGCGTGACCCGACATAAGCGCGAACGTCATAAGCGCGCCGACAAAACCGCGGCGCTAAAACCGCGATGTCAAAAGCGCACCGACAACAGCGCACCGACAACAGCGCACCGACAGAAGCGCGATTTAAGTTAAGGTAAGGTTTAGGGTTAGGTTTAGGGTTAGGTTTAGGGTTAGGTTTAGGGTTAGGCTTAGGGTTATGTTACAGCGCGCTTCTGTTGGCGCGCTTTTGTCGGCGCGCTTTAGGGCTAATTCGTCGCTCATTCGTTGCACGGTTTTGTCACCGCGCTTTAGTCACCGCGCTTTAGTCAGGCACACTTTTGTTGTTCGCGCATTTGTGGTGGAACCCCTTCTAAGAACAGGGAATATACCAATTTGAAATTTAGGCTGGTTTCATACCCACAGAGCTTATGTGCAGTTTGCAGTGGTAAACTGATCTACTATCACTTCACTCCCCCTACCAAAGGAAATAGTACGAAGCCAATTTTGCTGGGCTTCCTTGGAAATAGGCAGCAATTTTTTCCCATTAGTGGGAACATTAGTTCTGTATCTATGGTACTGTGATGCGCCCATCTCCCATCCTCTCTAGTTGCTTTCAAGTAAAGCTTTCTCTCTCACCAATGGCTGGAGTTTTTTTTTTTTTTTTTTAGTTTCGCTGTTGGGAAAAGCAAAGATGACAAAAGAAGATTTATTTATTTTGTGTATGGCATAAAATACCTGGATAACAGTACTAAGAATATATAAAAGGAGCAAGCACAGATATGTTGGGAATGGGTAGTCAATTTTGTAAGGTATGAGGAATTCAAAAAGTTATCTATACGTTTTGGGTTACATTTTGAAATATGTTGGTTCATGAGAATGGAATAAATGCTCTATATATTAATATCTAGATCATTTATCCAATTAAGTGCAGTATTTGTTAGTTGGAGAAAATCTGCTTTTCCTCCTGTATAAGCTCTCAAATAGCAGCTACTCATTATATGATCCAGTGTCTGACAAGGAGAAGCATAGTCACATTTGGGGTGGGGTGGGGCTATCCATTCAGTCATGTCAAACACTTGGTGATTCTCTGGGCCAGGTCTCTCCACATCTTCTGATCTTGTACTACTTCTTTGAATTTTTCTACGTCTGGTTGATGTCAGCTTTGATGGTGTCCAGCTACTGTGTTCTTTGGAATCCTGCTTTCCTTCAAGAGAGGATACTCTTGCCCCATTTACATAGAGAGTTTTGACAGATGCCAGGCAAAATACGAATCCTAGTCAGAGTTTTCCAGTGTTGGCAGGTGGCATCAAAACCTGCTAATTTTTGTGATGGGTCAGGTATATTTTTTCCAGGCAGAGGAAGAATAAAGATAGTAGAGCAGAGCAGTGCTAGAGGGGGACAGGATGCTCTTGCACTAGAAACATACTGACCTGTGAGGGACCATTTAGAAGAAAGCTACTGGAATGAATATTAGGGGTAAGGCTGAAGGTTTTCTGGAATGGCCACAGTTAACATATGGAAATCACTTCCACAGGATCTAGGGCTCATCAGCAACTTGGAAGGCTTGAAAAAGCATGTAAACAAATGCTTAGTATATATAGCATTATTTATTGCTCTCCAAGCTTCTTCTTGGCCGAGAGATTCCAGAAAATCCCATGCCATGAATGCCTTTGTCACTGTAAATCAGGAACCATTACTTTCAACCTTATCAACAAGATCTGTAACACAAATTTATTACATCTTCCTTAACCCTTGGCCAAGCCATTCACTCTTCATCTCGATTATCTTTTAGCTGATTTGAATGATAGTGAAGTCATCAAGCTCTGTTTAATAGCCAGCAAGATCTGGCAAGACCTCACCAGGGACAGATTTGGTTTGATTAAACATGCTCAAGGTTTAGTAATAACAATTGCTGTTATTTCTCCTGTTTATCTCTGATGATTGATGATCATCTCTTCACTGAAGCCTTAAGTACTAATACGGGTAACCCTTGACTTACGACCACAATTGAGCCCAAGATGTCTGTTGCTAAGTGAAACGTTGGTTAAGTGAATTTTACCCTATTTGATGACCTTTCTTGCCACAGTCATTAAGTGAATCCCTAAAGCTGTCAAGTTAGTAGCAGGGTTGTTAAGTGAGTTTGCTTCCCCCACTGACTTTGCTTGTAATAAAGTCACAAAAGGTGATGATATGATCTCAGGACACTGTAACCGTCACAAATGTGAGTCAACTGACAAGCATCTGAATTTTGATCATTTTATGACCTTTTCTGCCACAGTCCATGGGGATGCTGCCATGGTCCTAAGTGTGAAAATTGGTCATAAGTCACTTTTTTCAGTCCGGTTGTAACTTTGAACAGTCACTGAATGAACTTCTATAAGTCAAAGGACTACCTGCATATAACCACTAAATATTTGAAGTGGTTTACTTGAACTTACACTAGTTCATATTGCAGTTTGTTTTTATTCATTTTATATTTTTATGGAGCCGAGGTGGCGCAGTGGTTAAATGCAGCACTGCAGGCTACTTCAGCTGACTGCAGTTCTGCAGTTCGGCTGTTCATATCTCACCAGCTCAAGGTTGACTCAGCCTTTCACCCTTCCGAGGTGGGTAAAATGAAGACCCGGATTGTTGGCGGCGATATGCTGACTCTGTAAACCGCTTAGGGAGGGCTGAAAGCCCTATGAAGTGGTATATAAGTCTAACTGCTATTGCTATTGCTATATTTTAATCTTATTTTTATTTATTCCTAAATTTTATGTGTAAAGATAACTAAAATATACAGTAATATTACTACTAATAGCATCCAGTATTAATTATTAATCATGACAGCAATATATTGCTTAGTATTAAAAGCTGATTGCACCCAGGAACAGATAAAGAGAGTTCTTGAGAGTTGGGTGGCCTAGATGTTGAACAATAATATAATAATAATTTTTATTATGGTCACAGACCAGGATTACAAATAAGAAGCATTAAAATAATAAGAATACTGTAAAGACAAGATAATATATTACAATTAGTGGTGGATTGTTAGTGGGCAGTCAAAGTCTGCCTAATTTGGCAGGCAGCATAACAAAATTTAGTTACATTTAAAGAAATTACATCGTACTGATCTGATAACAGCAATTTTAAGCAGGAAAGTTTAACAAATAATGATTGTTCATTGCACAGTCAGCCAGCTATTCAGACTGGATCTGACATTTTTGTCAACTTACTAAGTCTTTCCCAAGGATTTGGGATAGGCAGATGTGACTGTTTGATAGTGTTAAATAGCAAATAATAATAACAGTTATTATTATTGGAGGAGGAAAAATATGTCAAATAAATATACCATGTTTGTCTTTCCATGTGTGCAAACTTGGAGATGTCGAGGAGTCTTATATGGAGAAAGATATTAAGCAGACCTTCGAGTTTTTGGAAACGTTGACTCAATTTTTACATGCAAATCAAAGAAGCCTAAATATTCATGTTCTTGCTGAGGATTCCAATAAAACTAAAAAAGCACGATGCCATATAAACAGTACAAGAGGGGATTTCAGAGGTTTTGGAAAGCCTCCAAATTTATCTATCTTAACCATTTAATTTTTATAAATCAAAATTCGGAGGAGGAGTGGAGGTGGGGAGCATTCATTGAAATACGAACTCCTATGCACAGTAGCTACACATTGCTTTAGAAAAAGGAGAATAAAAGAGAAACAGTACTCCATGGGGTAGAGTTTTTGTCTTACATATGCTGTTTGATCAAGCCAGCAAGTCCATAAAATGCTGCAAAGTTTTGCTCTAGTATAAGGCCGCTGACCAAATCCATATTCCTTATGGAAATGATCCATATACTGTATTGCACAAAACAAAGTGAGGGACCCGAGCCCTTTTTCTCGTGAAGACCATGTTCAATCAGCTTTTTTCCTCCCTCTCCTATGCTCCAAGCTCTGGCTGGTCCTTTCCCTGCCAATTCTGCAGTTCTGAAATGTGCTGGTTGATAAGATCAGGCTTTTTCGAGTCTCGAGGACATGAAATTATTGCCATTCTCTCCTCTTTCCTTTGCTCTGTTTGCCACCCGCCCCATCATCCTTCTCTGCAGGCTCTTGAGAAAGAAGGGATGAGTGCAGACCACACTGCCTGCAGCTGTTCCTCTAAATCATAAAATTGAACAGAACAAAAGCAACCAGTGAACCCACCCTCTTAATCCCAAGGAGACAGCTGGATGTGGGAATGAGGAGTTTCAAACATTACAAAAACACTTCTTCAAATGCTGCCTGAAATGTACACATGCACAACGCACCGGTCACCAAGATGTGTACGCAGAGGGACCTCTTCCTGAGAACAGAGGGATCTTCCAACATTTTGCAAAGAGGAACAGGTATCCTTGCAAATTTCTAGTTTTCAAACAGGAAAGAATAGGGTGCAGGCTCCCAACTGGTGTTGCTGAGGATCTGGGTGCTCTTCAGAGGTCGGTTCCTACCAGTTCGCACCAGTTCGGTAGAACCGGTTTGTCAAATCTACCGAACCGGTTAGAAGAGGTTCCACCAGTGGACCCAGAAAGCAGGCCACACCTACAGAAGAAATTCCAAAAATNGAGGTATCCCAGAAGGAGAAAGGAGCACTGGACTACTGAACAAATCTCCTTTGCACACCAAGCAAACTCACTCACTCAGGAGGGTGCCTCACCACAGCGCAGTTGGCTCTCTCTGATGTTTCGTAGTAGCTTCCCATACAAGTTGCTGGGGTAGACACACACCGTCTTGTCAGATACCTGGACAGAATGGCTTTTGGACCAGGCTAGGACCCAGCGTAAATGGCAGTCACAGGTCAGGTATTCAGTGGCAAAGTCACTGGAGAACAAGAGAAATGTAAATTGAAGAGGAGATGCCAGTGAGGAAGATTTACACAGGAAAGAGATGCCTGTCCGTCCTTGATAACAAAAACAACTCTAGAAAGCTCCAGCATCTTGAGGTACCACAGTGAACATGGTGGAACCTTGTCCACAGCTGGGTGATGGCTCGGTCTATTCTCTCCAGAGGGCTTCAAAGGGGAGAACAATGGGACTGAGCATGGCTTTCCATGCAGAAAGACCCAGCTGTTGTCCCACCCTGATGTCCCACCAACCCCAACATTAATCACTTAAAAAAATTAATTGCTTCCTCTCTGCTTTTTTCTTTTCATTTGACCAACAAAACACAAAATACTTACAGAACTTTCAGAGACAGCAACTCATCAAAGACTCCACTCTGGAGGCTGGCGAAGATATTTCCTGATATGTTCCTGCCAAAGAGAAGATAACAAAATAAGATAAAACTTACGCGATTAGACCAAGAGGCCTACCTAAGATGAGATTCATCATGGAAGAAAGCTGCTTCAGGGAAGTCTTTGGATGGTAGGAATCTTATTCTCTTTGCAATTGGTACTTAGAGAGAAACACACTTTCTCTGAACATCAGGGCTCCATAGAGCCCTCTCAGCAAATGATGATATAGTTTTATATTAATTAAAGTCAGGTTTTCTCACTTCATCTTTTGGCTATGGTTTCCATAAATTTACTGTGAACAAAGAAATGCAATAGGGAATTCAACTTATTTGGGGCGGGCAAGAACATAAGCCATGGCAGAAGACCATAAAGCATAACTAAGTCCAGTTGCTATTTCTGTTTCAGACTGAAGTCCTCCTCTACAGAATCTATCAGGAGCTTGCAAAGAAGAGCAACATCATCCCAAGACCATCTGCTTTAGAGATGAGCCTCCCTAGGTTGCTCATTTCCATGACAGCTGGATATAATATGAAACAGAATTACTGCAAATAATGCCTGAGCTCTCTGGTTTTCTTATTCCCTTCCTATCTCTTGCCTCCTCTGTACCACTCAGAGGTGGGTTCCTACCAGTTCGCACCAGTTCGGTAGAACCGGTTCGTCAAATCTACCGAACCGGTTAGAAGAGGTTCCACCAGTTGACCTGGAAAGCAGGCCACGCCTATAGAAGAGGTTCCAAAAAAATTTGAAACCCACCACACACACACACACACACACACTCACACACTCACACACTCACACAGAGAGAGAAAGAGAAAGAAAGGAAGAAAGAAAGAAATAAAAAAAGAAAAAAAAGAAAAAGTGAGAGAGAGATGAAAGAAAAAAAGGAAAAAGGGACAAAGAGACAAACGGAAGGAGAGAGAGAGAGAGAGAGAGACAGACAGACAGACAGACAGAGAGAAAACACATGGCCGGCAAGCCACTCCCACAAAGGAGGCCACACCTACAGAGTAGGTTCGAAAAATTTTTGAAACCCACCACTGGTATCATTTCTTTCTTAATTAGTAAACCTGAAGACAGGGACTTCTACCTTTTATTTTTCTGTAAGTTCTTCGAAGAACTCTTCACCGAAAGTATCAGGGTTTAAATGCTAAAATTACTACAAAATAAACAAGAGATTTGCTGGATCAGACCAACAAGCTATCACATCCAGGACCTTCCTGTCATCTCCAATTGCCAACCAGAAAGCTAAAGGGAAGTCCAGGACAGATGTGAGAACAATAATCCTCTTTCTACTGTTCTTCCCAACAACTACTGCTTTTATCTTAAGGGTGTACCATCACTACGACTAATAGCTGTAGATAGCTAAGTTTAAAAATTGGTCTAAAGAACACCAATAAGTAAAATTAGCCAAACGTATTCAATGTGTTTTTTTAATTGAAAGACCTAGCAGATTTGCTGCTATGGGATTTTTGCTATGGGTGGTTGGGTTCATAATCTATAGATCCCAATCGGAAGTATTTCTTATAAATGCCTCAGCCTTCACTTTCATATTTCAGGATTCCCTGACAAAATAAGTTGAAAAGGAATAATGAAAGGAAAGCAAAACCATCATGCTTGGCATCTATACTCAGCCGTATTCTTTGACACAATATTCTCCAACCAGAACCAGTTTTCAGTTATGTGGACTTCAGCTATCACAGCTGTCAATCTTGACCTTGCCAAGTGGGAATGCTGGAAGGTGACATTCACACCTTTGGAGAGAACCCACATTTTGGAAGGCGGGTTTGAGAAATGAAGGTTGCTGTCAACAGCACTTGTACAGAGGCTCAAAGTGAGACCATACCTTCACCATTGCCACTGAATACTCACAGACGGATAAGGCTGGACAGTCCCTGCAAGAGGCCAATGTTGAAGCAGCCAATGCGGTTGTTGGAGAGATCCCTGAAAAACAATGAGAAAAAAATGGGAGCCATAGACAGACGGTGAACAGCGGTGGATATTAAGTGTCTACGAGGTTTCTCTTCATGGGGTATCCCAATGTTGACACAGCATAGTCTGAATTTGCCCGAACACTTTGTACACCTTGAATGTATACTGGTAAAGGTAAAGGTTTCCTCTGTCCACTTGTATCCAACTCTATGGGGCAGTACTCATCTCCGTTTCTTAGCCAAGGAAATCAACATTGTCCAAAGATGCTTCTGGGGTCATATGGCCAGCATGACTATGCACCAAGGCACGCAGAATGCTGTTACCTTCCCGCTGAAGTGGTACCTATTTATCTACTTACATTTGCATGCTTCTGAACTGCTGAGCACCGTTCGATGTCAGCATCTACTTCTTGGTTAATCGCAAAAAAAAAACCTATGCAGAATCAGCATTTGTTTGGGAGATTTATTAGAAGTGTTGAGATTGTAGACCTCAGTGAAATGCAACAACAAAAATCCCCCTAAAAACAATGGCCAACCGTGTTAGTATTGTTGCTAAAACAACTGCATAGACACATCCATGAAATCACCAGAAGCTATTTTTCTTCTATTTTTTTTAAACTGAGCACTTGAATGAGTGCAACTGGCTTAGAGGACCGGTGGAGAATTAAAGGATAGATTTGTCTTTTCCGAGCATAGTTTGCAATTACTTTTGGAAAAATAAACACCCAGCTCAGAAGATGGTGACCACATGCATTTTTGTTGAAATTATCAGGAAACTGACACTTAGAGTAAACAGTCAGGCATTATGAGTTATGGACAGGTTACAGATTACTTAAAGTTTTTTGAAATGGCTCTGGGCTTGGAAGTTAAGCAATTGGGGGTGGGATATGGGATTCACATGTAAATATTAAAGGTAGTTTTCAGAATAAAGAACCAAGAGCAGGAAATTAGCTGGAATGTGTTCAGGAGAAGTTGAAACTATTACTTACAAGCGTTTCAGGTCCTGAAGACCCAGAAAAGCTCCAGGCTGAATGATGCTAATCAAATTGTTCTTTAGGTCTCTGGGAAATAAGGAAAAAAGAAACGTAAGATGTTGCATTGAAGAATGGGTGAATTTTGTTCTTGATGGATCCTTGAGGATAAGGCTTGAAACTTTCTTAAGGCAACTACTCTTTTTATTTTCTTTATACCAATCAATATTTATTCAGTTAATGTTCACCAAAATTTAAAAGAACAAAACCCAAGCAAAGCAAATAAATACAATAATACACAAATAACTAGCAAAATAAATCACACAGTATAACATTTGTTCCTCTGTTACTATGTTAATGCAGTTGTTACTGGGATAATAAATCTAAAACATTAATAGGTATAAATAAAAACAAAAATGGCATACCCTTCAATAATTGATTTATTGAAATGTGTCAAATCAAAATATTTAAAACAAAGATAATTGTGCCTTTAGATAATCATATCTTTCATTGCATTTTTATATACGGATAAACATGTAAAGTTCTCCACTTTTCCTTTTCTATTTCTCACTCATTTACTTCCTTCTACATATTTATTTACAAATAAATATGCTTTACAATGTTTTTAAGAAAATTTTATTACATGTAAACATACATAATTAGTTTTTAAAACAAGATCACAAATGTAGTATTTTTTAAAATATTCATAATTCTGAGCGGTATCCCACTTTACAGCATTTAAAGCATTGGTGAAATAGCCAGCATGTATATAGAATTCAAGCACTTTCAAATTATTCCAAATTTCCTTGCTTCAGCCATGTGTGGGCTGTTTCTCAGATTTTCACTGATTTATTGACTTTATTTAGTATAATAATGGACTTTTACAACTCCACCCTTTTTTTTTCCAGGGAAGTAGGAATCAATTTAACTCTTTAAGAGTCTAAATGTCCCAATTTCTGGTGTCTGACACACTTCAGCCATTAATAAAACATCTCAAAGATTCTGTACTTACTTAAAGAGTTCACCCCATCCGTGTCAAATTATTTATTTAAAATGAGAGAGTTGCCTGTGATTTGTTGAGAAATTGATAATGGAGGCATGTTTTGTTTTTTTTCCTTTCAGTTCTTATTTTCAAGATGGAGAAAGGAAAACAGAAAGAAAAGTTGTCCTGGATTTTATTCAGACTAACTCAAGTTTCCCCAAATGGATTCTTTCCAGAAGGGTTTCACAACTGTAACTGACATATTTGGGTGAGGCACAAAACAATAAGGACCTTTTAGAAGATTGAAAATCTTTTACGGACTTTTTGCTAAAAGTGAAGTGATGATTCATGGATCTGATGATTAAAAAAGGACCAAATAAAGGGCTGAAGGGATTTTTATACTATTAAGAAAAAGGTTGGGCATAAGTTACTAACTTTCGTTGCAAAAGATATTTGAAGTCACTTATTTTTCTGACCTTTGTTCTATTAATTATTCTTCCACTTTTTTCTTATCATTATTATTTTTTGTTCTCTTTTCTTTCTTTTAGATTTGCTTTTTATTGCTTGAAGAACAGCCTTCATAAAAATTATGCTTTGAACAAAAGAAAAAATAATTCTTTTCTTGCCCACTTCTGGTAACATCACAGGAAGATGAACAGTTGCCCAAGAATACAAGGTATTTACTTATCTTTTGGATAAGTCCAACTAATCCCTTGGATGTTCTTCTTCAACAAACAAACTTCCTCTTGTTTGAAACATAGTGATGGATTCCCATCTTCTGAAGATAAGTTTCTCTTAGTAGTTGTTACATAGAGTCCAAAGGCCCCTCTAACACTATCCTCACATCAAAGAATTTATAGATGTAAGAAGGTTTGTTATTGTTCTGTAATTCATTAAGGATCGCCATCAGGACTCCTCCTTCCCTTGTAATTGTAACTTCTTCCTACTCTCAGCTTATGCTAGGCACTAAGAAAACAACAGTGTATACTCACACAAACAAGCCCACCCATACTTCATGACTTCTTGCCAAACAGAGTAGGACAGCAACAAAATCCTCTGTTCCACAGAAAAAGAAAGCAGTTTTTCCCATCTACTAGCTTTGTGTGCTGCCTGTAAATCTTCCTAAACACTTCATACTTTCCTGGTATCAAGCCGAGCAAGGCTAAAATGAAGCTCAACTTTGAAAGAGATCACACTTAGAATACTGCATCCAGTTTTGGTCACCATATTATTTTTTAAAAATGTATAGACTCTGGAAAGAGTGCAACAAAGATGATTAGGGAGCTGGAAGCTAAAACATCCAACACGGTTGCAGGAATTGGGTATGTCTAGTTTAGTTAAAAGAAGGAGTAGGGGTGACATGATAGTAGTGTTCCAATATTTGAAGGGCTGCCACGAAGATGAGGAGGTCAACTTGTTTCCCAAAGCACCTGAAGAAACAGTGGATGGAAAGTTATCAAGGAGAGACCCAACTAAGGAGGAATTTCCTGACATGAGAATCATTAACCAGTGGAAGGACTTGCCTTCAGACATTGTGGATGCTCCATCACTCAAGGGTTTTAAAAGAGACTGTCTGACATATTGGTAGGTCTCCTGCTTGAGCAGGGGGTTGGACTAGAAGACCTCCAAGGTCCCTTCAACTCTCTTATTCTGTTATATTCAGGAGAGATAAAATCAACATTTTTCCTACATCCCAGAGGCGCCTTCTAAGCGTGACCCGACATAAGCGCGAACGTCATAAGCGCGCCGACAAAACCGCGGCGCTAAAACCGCGATGTCAAAAGCGCACCGACAACAGCGCACCGACAACAGCGCACCGACAGAAGCGCGATTTAAGTTAAGGTAAGGTTTAGGGTTAGGTTTAGGGTTAGGTTTAGGGTTAGGTTTAGGGTTAGGCTTAGGGTTNCCCATCACTGGTGCTCTTTGTCAGTCATACTGTTTTATAGCCTACTCTATTTACTTCCCATGAGGCAGAATGGACAAGGGAAGTGAGCACACCTCCACCTCTCCTGTCTGTGAAGATTCTCAGTCATCCAAGTTTCCAAAGGACAACTGGACGTTCTAGGGTTTTTTTCCTTGAACATGTTTCTCTTTTCATCCAAGAAGGTTCTTCAGTTCAGTCAGAACTGAAGCTGCTTCTTGGATGAGAAGCGAAACATTTTCAAGGAAAAACCAAGGAAGTCCAGTTGCCTTTTGAAAAGCACCTTTGGGACTCCACCTCTCCTACAGATTTAGGATCCAGGTCCTCAAACAAGAGAACAACAACAACAACAAAAATCCAGCAGAGCAAATGTCACAATAACTCCCATAGCAATTTAGAGGCTGAGAACTACAATTCCGAGCAATAAGGTCAATGGTGAGAGATCCTGGCTGTTGTAGTAATGCTGGGACATCTGGAGTGTCTCCTCTAAGATTAGAGGAGTACATTAAGAACCTCTGCTCAGTCAGAAAACAAAGACAAAATTGGGAGTCAGAGGAGGAGGGTAGAAGGAGACCATGTGTTCTGTCTTTTGAATGAGGGATGGAATAAAAATGTTTCAAAAAATCAGATTAGTTTCCGTTTTGGCACACGTTCTTTCCAGCCCTGACTATGAGCCATATATGGCCTGTGTTTAAATGAGATTTGATTTCAGAGAACTCATAAACAAAGAGAAATGGAAAGAAGAGCAGGCTTCCTTTGCTTGCAAGGACAGAGGCATTTTGGAGCTCGAATGGCTGGCGCCCTTGACCTGAGGAGGCAGCTGTCAAACTGTGGGGAGGAGATAAGTTATATAACACACACACACACACACACACACACAAAATGGCAAGAAATAAAAGCAGTTGGCTTAAAGCATTCCTTATGTTCTAGGGCCAGTGCTTGTGATGGATCATGGAAGTTTGTAGATACCTAGTAAAGTCCATCCTTTAAGTCCAATTTTTGGTCCATCTAGCTTGACTTTGCTGGCATTAATTGGTAGCAGCTCTCTTAAGCTCTCAGGAGTAAATTATTTGGAAAAGCTGAGATCTGAATTTGGGACTTTCCGTCTATAGAGGAGATATGCCAGCCATAAACTATAACCCTTTCTTTTTCATTGTTCACTTGTGTTACCCCAGTTTCTGAGATCTCATGCAGCTTGCAAGATGTGTAAGAGGACAGTCAAAAGGTTGGTTCTTCTCATGTCTATGTGTAAGGGTGTCCTCTGGCTAGAAAGAGGAGAACTACCAGCCAATAGAAAAAAATATAATAGCAATAGCAATAGCAGTTAGACTTATATACCGCTTCATAGGGCTTTCAGCCCTCTCTAAGCGGTTTACAGAGTCAGCATATTGCCCCCAACAATCTGGGTCCTCATTTCACCCAGATAGATGATAGATA